CATGCGACGCAGGCTGCGCAATGAGAGCCGACACAAACTACGTGCTATCGATGGAGCTGAGCGGGGTAATCTTTTTAAAATCCGCGGGCGCCGAGTGGTCCAAGACATTCAGACGCCGGTCAGCAAGCGGTGGGGTGCACCCAGCGCGACATGAGGCACCAGCGCGGAAACGAGAAGAGCGCGAAGGCGAAGAGAAAGAAGCCCGCTTAGACCATTAAAACCGGCGCGCGAGATGCCGCAGAAGATGTGCGTGCGGGCTGCGTACAGTCAAACAGTATGGTAAGTACTCCGATAAGGACGCAAGGGCCTTGGGAGGTCATGTCGACACCTCGCGAGCGGGGCGCGGCCATCGATAGCGGCCAAGAAAGGACCGAAGGGGAAGGATGCAAGGGCAACCCTGGAGAGCTGCTCATCCTCACTATGCGGGTTGACTGTAGCAAGCAGAGGGCGGCCTGTGCCGGGACAGAGCGGGGTAAGAACACATTGGGCTGACGCACGTCCTGAGGATCATCGATTCGGGGCGCAGGGTGGGGTGAATTGAGCCTCGGCTGCGCCTGCCGCCGACGGGCGACACGGGGCGGGGCCTCCCTCTGCTCCAGACCCCCGACGTCATGATTTGAGAGAGCGTGATCCACCGCCGCTTTACTGTGGAAAATTGCCAACCTTTTCCTCCGGAACCCGGGGGTCTCCCCCCCCCCCCCCCCCTCGAAAATCCCCCCCCCGCCCCCGGAACTCCCTCCCCCCCCCCCCCCCCCCCTCCCCCAGCAAAACCCCCCCCTCCCCTAACCCCCCCCCTCTCCCCCTCGAAAACCGGGGGGGGGTCACTACCGGTTCGAACCCCTCCCCCCCCCCCCCTCCGGATCCGGAAAACCGGGGGGGGTCACTACCGGTTGGACCCCCCCCCCCCCCCCCCCCTCCCCACCCCCCCACGCACCGCCAGCAAACGACTCCCGGTCCCTACCACCGCTCGCATCACATCCCCCACTGTTGTTCCCAGCACCACTGTCCTCACCACCACTGTCCCCACTGGTTCCACCACCGTCCCTATTGTCCCCACCAATGCCCCCACCACTGTCGCACTGTCCCCACTGTTCCCACAACTGTTCCCACCACGGTTCCACTCTCCCCACTGTCTCCACGGACCCAACCACTGCCTATCCCCATTGTCCCCACTGTCCCACTGACTCCTCCGCTGTCCCACTGAGCTGTCCCACTGTTTCCACCACTGTCCCCACTGTCCCCACCACTGTCCCCACTGTACCTCTGTCCCATTGTCCCACCGCCGTCCTCGCCACCGCCTTTACCAGTGTCCCCACCACCATTGTACCCTCCACTGTCCCAGTGTTTCCACCTCATTCCCATTGTCCCCACACCACTGTCCCCACCACCACCGTTCCCACCACTGTCCACTGTCCCCCCTGTTCCCACCATTGTCCCCACCACTGTCCCCACCACTACCGTCCCCACCACTGTCCCACTGTCCCCCCGCTGTCCCCACCACTGTCCCGCTGTCCCCTCACCACTGTCCCCACCAACACCGTCCCCACCACTGTCCGCACCCCCACTCGGTTTTCGAGGGGGGGGGGGGGGGAGGGGTTCGAACCGGTAGGACCCCCCCCCTTTTCATGATGAGCGGGGAGGGGGGGGGGGGGGGGTTCGAACCGGTAGTGACCCCCCCCGGTTTTCGGGGGGGGGGGGGGGGGGGGAGGGGTTCGAACCGGTAGTGACCCCCCCCGGTTTTCCGCCAGCAGCGGTAGAACACGCTCTTTCCATGATTTCTTCCCAGCGTCGACCCCCAGAGGGCCCCTTCCCCTGGACCTGTCTTTCATCCTGAGTCGTTTTTTGGTGGTCCCGAGGCCTGGCGAGGGTTCTGAAGCGCCGAGGACAGCCAAAAACCTCCCGCACGGATTTTTGCCACTAGCCGGCCGCTCTGATGTTGATCAGGAGTTCCTGTATAACTGTAGAAGAAGGGGCGTAGCGGGAGGCGGTGGCATCCAGCCCCTCCTGCTCCCATGCTGAAGACCTCCATCTTTCCTTCACATCATCCCAGCAAATATTGTGAGGTCGAATTGGTGACGGTCCCGAGGGCCGAAAAAGGGCCTCCAAAGGTCGAACATACGGAACAAAACCCTCCCCTGAGAGCCGACGCAGCAAAAACGAATTGCTAAACATCATAGAAAACCACGCCCGGAGCCCTAGATACCATCTGTCTGCGTCATGCTTCGAGCCGGATCGATATGTGAGGGCCCCGAGGCCCGAAGAAAGGCGAAAGCACCCAGCTCGAAAAAAAATTGAGACGCCAGGATCTCAGGAAACCCCAACTCCCACCCCGAGCAATCTTGGCATCGAATGGGTACGGGTGCTGCCCAGGGCCCCGGGGGGCAGTGGCGGGAAGGGCACGGGGCATCCCGCGCACGTCCGAACGTGCCCTGAGATCCGCCGTTGCAAAAAAAAAAAATGCAACATCGCAAAAAATCACGACCGGAGCCCTCTGGGGGCTCACCGAGGGGCCCTTGGCCTTGTCGGCAAGCCTATTGGAAACATGGTTGGGGCGGTGGGCGGAAGCCCAAGGAATCATGTTCCCGGAAAGCTGCCTAGGAAATACGACTTACCGAAGTGTCTTGGCGGCCCGTAGGGGGCTTCCCCGGGGGCCCCTTGGGGGCCTATTGGGGCTTCCAGGGGGCCTCTTGGGAGCCTCACGGGGCTTCTTGGGAGCCTCTTGATGGCCTCCCAGGCCGAAGACCTTGTCGCGCTATTCGGGCCCTCTTGGGTCGCTCTTGGGGCTCTCTTGGAGAACTCTCGAGGCCCTCTTGAATTATCTGGGGAGCCTCCTGGGCCGTCTCTGGGCTTTCTTGGGAGCCTCTTCGGCCGTCTTGGAGCGATCTGAAGGGCCTCTAACGCCGTCCGGGACCGTGGGGAGGCGGAACATGGGAGAGCACAAAAATGCTTCAAAAGCCATAGGAAAATGTATGATTTTCGGCTTCTGGGGCCCTTTGGAGGGGCCTCTGGAGGCGCTCTTGGGGCGTTTTGGCGGCGTCGTCGGCCGTCCTGAGGCCATCTTCGGTGTGTCCAGGGCCTCTGAGGGCCATATTGGCAATATTTAGGGCCCTCTTGGCGTGTCGTGGCGTGTTTGGGAGCGGGCCCGGGCAGTCCCGGGAGCCCTGGGACCCCCACAATGCCCCATGGAGGAGTACGGCACCAGCCCGCCCCCTCCCTGGCCTACTCACACACATATATATACATATATATATGTATATATACAAATGTATATATGTATATATGTGTATATATATACATATATACAAAACATAAAGATCCCGTCATGAATTTGCTATTACCCGAGAGGGTCTGGGATCTCGCTTCCCCCCCAGGGGCTCGCCATCGAGCTCCACTTCGCCCCAGGCTTATCTCTGGCCCACTCACATTCCACTCTGGCCTGTGCCGCTCGCCTCCCCCCCTCTGCCCAACTCGCTCCACTTCGCCCGACTCTGCTCGTTCGCGCCCAAAAAGCTGGGTGCAATTGGCCAGCATGCGGCCAACTTGCCTAGAACGAAGAAAAGCGCCATAAACATAAACTTTCGGCACTCCGCGCGAATTTCTTGGATCCGCGCTGGGACCCCCCTGGCGGCGCCTCCGGCGCCGCCCCTGGCGCGCTTCGCGCGCCAGGGAGGGGGGCCCAGCGCGGATCCAAGAAACGCGCGCGGAGCGCCAAAAGTTTATGTTTGTGCCGTTGCTTCTTCCACGATTGCCCTGATGTCTGGGCGTTGCAGTGTCCCTGCGCCGGCCGTCTGCGCCTGGACTCGGGCCCCCAGGGCCATCACAGGTCGATGCGGCTCGAACAGCGTTGCAAGGAGATGGGGCCCCAGGGCTCGGGTCGTGATTTCTCGCGATGCCGCGATTGTCTCGCAACGTCGGATATCAGGGAAGACAGCGCCTCCAATACGCAGCTCGCAGCCCGTGGCGCGTCAACACGGAGCTGAACACATAGATTCAAGACGCAAGTCTGGCGCAGCACATTCGGCACAACGCAGGCCAACCGGCGTTGAATCAACACGCGGCCTGTCTGACCTGGGCGTCTTGACACGGTACGGGCTCCGTTTGAACACGGGCGTATTTTTGCAACTACACTCAGGGAGTGTGCGGCCCATCTGTGCTCTCGCAAGAAATGCCCAAGAAAATGGAGTCTACTGAGCAGGGACCGACTGCCCCGGCATTCCTATAGGCCTACCAGAAAATGTTGTGATACAGAAAATCGTTTCAAAAACAAAAACAACGAGTGCTCTTAGAACATCAACCCGATGTGCCGAAACAAGACAGTCTCAGCCAGCAAGGTTCTAAGAACATTTCGTGCAAGCCACAGGAGGCTCTTAGAACATTATTTAGAAGGCATTGGGCCCGTGCATAACTGCCCGCAGGAGGCCCTCTTGCCAGGCCCGTGCAAAACTGGCGTTGCCCCCGACCCCCACGCCGACAGTGGCCAATATCCACTCCGTGTTCCTGGGCAGGTCCCAGACATGCTCGCGTCGTAAAAAAAAACAGGACGGAAGGCTTTTGGCCACTTTCGGCCTCGAAGGGCCCTCGCCGGGCCTCGGGACCATCAAAAAAACGACCCAGGACGAGGCACCGGTCCGGGGAGAGGGCCGGGAGTTCCAGGGACCCCGCCTGGTCAAAAAATCAGGGCGTCGCACGTCTGGGGCTGGAGCCCGTGCGGGCCCCAGGCGGCGAGGACTGGGCGAGTGGGGGCCGAATGCTTCCCCCCTGGGGCCCATCCACCCCCCCTGTCGTTGTCTGCGGGGCGGGGATCTATCCACATCCACCGCCTGGGAACCGACGTCCTGGTGCCCCAGCGGGCAGTGGGTATGGATATGTTTCGGGCCCTGTGGGCCCGCATATGTCCACATCCACCGCCTGCCGAGGCTCCGAAAACTGACCCTCCAGGCGGTGGTCATGTGTAAACTCCCGCCTCGGACTGTCCCCGACTAAGACGAACCCAGAACGAGCATAACATCGGGTGACGAGAAATCGAGAATCTCTGAGATCTGGCGGCTCCCACGGATGTCTCGGGCGCCGCGGTCTTCTCCGAGCGTTCCGGAACGCTCCGAGAGCGTTCTGGGACGCTCTGGAACGGATTCATCCTCGTCCTCGCCCCGTCCGTCGGACCCCCCCGCCAGCAATGGCCGACATCCACTGCACACCCCCGCTGTCAGGCGACGGCAACTGACGGCCTCACCGATCCTGGCCAGGCCCATCCTGGGCCCGGGCCTGGCTGGGTCAGCATCGGTGAGTTTGTCAGCTGATGCCCCCCCACAACGAAGAATCGCGTTCGCCCAAAAACAATGCAGCAGTGAAGAGAAGGGTTCTCCAGCGCCGGCCTTCGAGCGCAAATTCTGCCCACAAGAATGCACCATCGCAGGTGCGTCGTATCATGATGTGTAAGCGAGCTCTCAATGTGCTGCCCTTTGCTGTCAGTGCCGCGCTCCTTGATCTTGCATGCTCCTTCGAGTCCATATACAGCGTGCATATTCCTCCGAGTCCATACGCAGCGCGTACTCCAAGAGACAGGACTGACTTCATCTGGGAATGGCTTATCACTGGCATGGTTCGACGGGAAATGCACTGCGTGCGCAAGTACGACAAATATAAAAACCCGTGCAATAGAAAGCGCCACGTCAAGCGGTGACGCCACCACACAGACGCGCGCGGGGAGCACCCTCGCTGCTGCCGCTCACATATCAGCCAACCAACTGGGTGCGAGAAAGAATCATCTTGCAGGTCCTGATCCACGGCTTCGGCCACGGCGTTGGTGGTTGTGTCCTGGCACCCAGGCGGCTGTCACTCGACGCATATGACAGTCCAACCAGATAATATGGGCAACCACTGACAACGAACGCTCACGTGGGTTGTAGGGGCCACGAGCTCTGGCTGCCTTTCCGAGCACAGCACCAAAAAGCTCATACGTGCCGAAAACTGAAAGGCTTGAGCCGTGGGTCGAACCATTCCCCATTTTTCTTGTTCCCTTGGTGGACTCGTCGAAATCCCGATATGCCATGCCCTGGCTTAGAGCCCAGTGAGCTCAGTGCAAAGCGACAGGGGCGTCGCACGGAAGAGAGGAGAGACCCAACGACCTCGATCATCAATCATGGGGGTAACCAAAGATACCGATACCGCTACTCCCCAGACCTCTCGCGGGGTGCTTTCTGACAGAATTTCGAAGCGAATCTAGCGGTGTCGACGAGTACCTCCCAGGAGGCCGAAAAAGGGGAAAACGGGCTGTCGACAGGATGATCTTTTTCACCACGCGTCAAAAGGCTGAGCCCTCCCTCCGACCTCTCATCGGTGAGGGTTTGCATCGAAAAAGCGGCGGGGGAGAAGTAGCAGGGGCAGATAGCAGTGACGATCTTCGACACTGCTACCTTACCGGACTCCCCCGCTCGACCTCGCCCGCTCACGCCGTGAGCGGGCATTATACTCGTGGTCCTCCCCCAGAAGACGACGAGGGCCAAAATTGGCCGTCTGCGGGAGCTCCGCCCCGGAGATGTTGATATGGCCCTGCCACAGAGGAAGATAGAAGGCAAGAGTGGCTAGCTGCGGGAGCCCCGCCCCAGTACCGTTGATCCTCCCACGGAGGAAGATGCAGGCCGAGAGTGGCCGTCTGCGGGAGTTCCGCCCTGATTGAGGCCGACACGGTCCTCACGCGGAGGATACTGCGCGCGAAGAGCGGCTGCCTACGGCAGCTCCGCCCCGATGCTCATGCGGGCCGCTCCCGCCTGCTTCGGGCCTCCGCCCCACCCTGAGGCACTGCCTCCTCGCCGCCGCCGCCGCCGGCCTGCACCATGCCGACTGTCCTGGTCGCCGTCGCGCGGACTCCCGCCTGCGCAGCAGCACGCGCACCGGTCAGACGGCACGCAGCTGGCCCGAGGATCTCCGCCGGGACACTCCCTGGAGCGGGCCAGTCGCCCTCGGCCGCAGTCCCTGCGCGGCCCCTTCTCCTCTCCGCCGGCCTTCTCGCCTGTCCGGCCCTGGCCCTCGGGCCCCTTTTGCCCTTGCCGCTCGCTTGCCCTCGGCAGCGCGGCCCTGGGCGGGCCAGCTCTTGCTGGAGCTCTGCCCGGCGACCGCCAGCGCCGCCCTCGGCGGCGTCCTGCGGAGCTTCGCCAGCGAGGCCCCTGAGCGCGACAGCCGCCGCCTCAAGGTCCTCGCTCTCGTACTCCTCCGAGGCCGGGCTGCTGCCGCTGTCGCCGCTCCGGGATGCCCCGCGCGGCTGCTAGGCCGTCTTTGGTGGCCTCTCCTTGGCCTTCTCCTGGGCGGCAGCCGCCAGCCTCTTCTCTTCGTGCTCCGCACGATAGGTGGCTTGCGTGGAGATCATCATCATCCAATATGACGTGGCCACAGGAAACCCCTCGATCAGCGCCTGCACGAGGTTCCACCTTTCCCATATCTTGCCGCCCAGCTCCCCGCCATTCCACCGCGCCGCGATGTCCTCCAGGGGCTGCGGAGAGGGGCGGCCCAACTGCCCTGGGAAAACTAATCGGTACAAGTTGGACAGCCAGAGGAGCCACCAGTCGCCGTCCAACGCTTCAACGTGCGCTCTGTCGAACGTCATCCAGTGGTCGTCGGCCTCGAGGGCCTCTGATTCGTCTGGCGCCTCCTCTCCTGCAGAGCCGCCCCTTCCCCTTGAGCGGAACGTCCAGCAGATGGGGGCAGTCCCTGGCCCGATGGGCGGCGCCTTCCTGGTGACCTTGTCGGCCGTCCCCGCGCCCTCTCTGGACCGACCGCCCGTCTCGGTGTCGTCCTCCTTTTTCTTCTTATTATTATTCTTCTTCTTCTTATTATTATTCTTATTATTATTCTTCTTTTTCTTCTTCTTCTTCTTTTTCTTCTTCTTCTTCTTCTTCTTCTTCTTCTTCTTCTTCTTCTTCTTCTTCTTCTTATTATTATTATTATGTTTCTTCTTATTATTATTCTTCTTGTTATTCTTATTCTTATTATTATTATTAGTATTATTATTATTTTATTAGTATTAGTATTATTATTAGTATTATCATTACTATTATTATTATTGTACTTCTTATTGTTCTTATACTTCTTAGTATTGTTATTCTTATTATTATCAGTATTAGTATTACTATTATTATTAGTATTATTATAGCAAATTTTTATTATTATTATTATTCGTTTTCTTATTCTTATTCTGATTATTATTAGTATTCTTATTGTTCTTATTATTCTTGTTCTGAATATTAGTATTATTCTTATTATTATTCTTATTCACCTTATTATTATTCTTATGATTCTTATTGTAAGTATTATTATTCTTATTCATATTCTTATTATTATTATTCGTTGTCTTATTCTTCTTCTGATTAGTATTATTATTCTTATTCTGATTATTAGTATTCTTATTTTCTTAGTATTATTCTTCTTATTCTTATTAGCATTCTTATTCTTAATAGTCTTCTTATTCTTCATACGATTAGTTGTACTTGTTTTATGTTCTTACTAGTATTCTTATTATTAGTCTTATTCTTCGGATTATTATTCTTATTCTTATTACTATTATTATTCTTATTATTATTATTATTGTTATTAGTATTATTATTATTAGTAATATTACTACTATTATTGTTACTATTAATATTAATAGTAGTATTATTGTTATTATTATTACTATTATTATTCGTATTCTTGTTCTTCTTCTTCATATTATTCGTATTCTTTTTATTTGTTTATTCTTCTTCTTCTACTACTACTTCCTCTTATTTGTCTTATTCTTCTTGTTTTTTGTTATTATTATTATTCTTCGTGCACTGGTCGCCCCCTCGCGGCTTCTGTTTCGCCCTCGGCAGGTCCACTCCGCGGCTGCCCGAACGCGCGTCATTCGCCGCCTCGCGCTCCGCACGGCGGGGGCCCGGGCTCCGCCGCTCCGCCGCGGCGCCCTTCGGCGCGGACGCCGCCCGCTCGCCGTTGCCGCCAAGCGCGGGCAAGGGCCGACCCTGCGACGAGAGGACGCGTGGCCGGAATGGCCTCCGCCGCTCCGCGCTGGCCCTTCAGCCTGCACGGGGCCGCAGGAGGAGGAGACGGAGGAGGAGGAGAGGGAGGAGGATGAGGAGGAGGAGGAGGAGGAAGAGAGGGAGGAGGACGGGGGATAATGATGATGGTGATGATGATGATGATGATGATGATGATGATGATGACGGTGATGGTGATGATGATGATGCGGATGATGATGATGATGATGATGATGATGATGATGATGATGATGATGGTGATGATGATGATGATGACGATGATGATGAGGAGGAGGAGGAGGAGGAGGAGGAGGACGGGGACGGGGAGGAGGAGGAGGAGGAGGAGGAGTAGGAGGAGGCGGAGGAGGCGGAGGACATGGAGCAGGAGGAGCAGGAAGAGGAGTAGAAGCAGCAGGAGGAGGAGGAAAAAGAGGAGGAGGGAGGAGGAGGAGGAGAAGCAGCAGGACGAGGAGGAGGAGACGAGCGTAGAGAGGGCCGTCCCGTCTGCATACTACCTGAAACTCTCGGCCCCGCCCGCAGCGCCTTGCGGCTGGGCGGCAGGGGCGGGGGCCTCCTGCCCGTCGGACATGGGCTCGAAGCTCGGCACGACGATGGGCGTAGCCGTGAGTTTGTAATGCGGGCAGCTGGGCGTCGAGGTGGTGGTGAGGAGCAGGGGAGAAGCAGCAACCGCATCGGCAGCACTCAAGAGCGAAGGGGCGAGGGGGGAAGGTGGCGGCGCGGAAAACGGAAAAGGAGAGCGGAAAGACACAAAAGAGGGAGGAGCAGGGGGGGAGCACGCATGGGCACGAGGAGCAGCGCTCAGGAGCGACGGACGGGTGGAGAAGATGCGGCCCGACTTCGGCACGTAAGCATCGGCCGAACGGATGGGGAAGATAACCCGACGCTGCGGGCAGGTGGGCGACACGAGCACCGCGGGAGGCGGGCTCCGCGGAGCAGTTGACAGAATCTACAAGCTAGCACTTCGACGCACAGGCATCGATACAATGTAGGGGGCGAGGTCCGAAGCTCTAGAAATCGCTGGCACGGCCATCGGGGCAATCGCGAGGTCCACCAGAGGCGGGTGGTCCGACCCCGAGGCATTGGGGGAGGTCGTCACGGAATACAGAACAATGGGCGAGGGCGGAGCAGGAGCCTGCAGCGCAGTTTCGCCCTCAGAGCTGCAAGTGTCAAAGTGGTGAGGCGATTCGGGGGCCAGGTCCGCAATTTCGCCCACAGAGGTGCAAACAGGGGCGGGGGAAGCGCGGGGCGAGGCAGGGGTGGGAGGCACAAAGGACTCATAAGAAGAGCTCGACGACGAAGAGGAAGAAGAGTGGGAGCCAGGGCGGAGCGGTGCGAAGTCCGTCACCTCGAGGGCGGCGCGCTCAACACCCGAACGCTGCATCGGAGACACCATCCTCATCGCGCGTACTCCAGCCAACGCGCAGCTGAACGCCTGGTTGCTGTCAATCGGCCGCTGCCCGATGGCGCAGGTCACATTGCACACACTGTAAGCCACCATCATCACCGCCACATCATCAATGGACGGGGCACGAAGACACCAACGACGCAGAACTGGCAGAGGGAATGACCGACCCAGCGCCTGCCGCATCGCAGAGAACATATTCGGGCAGCGGGCGTAGTGTTTGAGCGAGTCGGGCGAGCGTACACAACCATATGCACAGAACCGCCTTCCATCCGCATGGAGGATACGATGCGAAGTAAGCCAGGCGTCCGACCAGGCACGAACTGCAGCCCACACCCACGACGTCGGGCATCTCCTGAGCACTGTGACAATCGAGTCCCAATTAATCTCGCCAAGAGCAGGGCGGTGGCGCGGCAACAGCTTGCGCAATCTCAGCCCTAGGACACCAGTGAGAGGAGCAGCGCCACGAGCCGACCCACGAAGAGCACGATGCGCAGCGCGCTGGGGGCGCGGGCGGCGGCCAACAGCCGCCAGGAGCTCCTCGCGGGCAGCGTCGCGAGCGATGGGCGCCATGGGCGAGAGCTGACCAGGAGGGCGGAGCCCAGCGGCAGCCTGCGCCAGCGTCTCCACACACGACTGAGAACGCCAGAAGCTCGGATATAGGCGGTCAGGGCAGAGCATGCACAGCGTGCGCCAGTCGTCGTGCTCGATGACGAAAGAGACCATCGAGTTCAGGATCCGCTCGTGCTCGGGGAAGGTGAGCGTGGCAGCGCGCACCAGCGACGCGACCGCGACGCGTCCCCAGCGGAGGACGCGCGGGCCGCCCCACAGGTCCAGCTGCGCCCAGGACTCCAGCGAGAGGGCGCCGAGCGGCGACCGAAAGGCCTGCGCCGGCGCTGGTAGCTCATGCGCCAGGAGCTTGGAGGGCAGCCAAGCAAATTGCGCGACGTACGAGAGCGTGGCCACCGCACGGGTGTTATATAATATGGCTGAGACGCTGGGGGGTGTCGCGCCGCGGCCAATCGCCTGAGCCCGCAGGCGAAGCTTGCCGACAGGGTCCGTCCAACAGTCACACGGGCCAACCTCAGGGCCCAACCAGAGGCCCAAGTAGGGCAACTTCGAGACCACCTCCAGATCCGCCCAAGTCGGGATAGCCTCCGAGATCACTGCCTTCACACGGGCCGCCAGTGGAACAGAAAAGCGCCCAGCCAGGGGCACGACCTTACATTTTGGTATCTTGAGGACTAGGTTGGCGAAAGACTCAGCAAGCTGCATGATACGGAAGACCTGCAGGAGCCCCACGAGCGAACGAACCGCACCTCCGATGTCGTCTGCACACGCTCGAACAAGACCGCGCCCAGGACCCTCGACCGATAACTCCAAGTCACTGATGAAAGGCGCCGCACTCAACGCAAAGAGGCTCCCAGAGAGCCCGCAGCCCTGAAGGATCCCACTGCGGATCCAGAAGATCCCCCTCAACACCCCGCCGACCGAGACGACGCCCTCGATCGCGGCGCACAGGGAGCAAACGAAGAGGAGGAGAGCATCAGGGAGGTTCAGCATCTGCAGCACCATTAGCATGCAATCCTGGTTCAGGGAGGGGAAGGCTTGGCCGAAGTCCAGGGAGAAGAGGAGGGGAAGGCCAGGATCATGAGGACATGTCACCGATAGCTTCCGAGCATGAGCATCAACTTCTAGAATATTCAAACCGAAGTTCCGCCCAGGCACGAACCCCCTCTGGGCCTGGGGGGCGACATGCGCAACAACAGGGCGTAACGCACGATTCATGACCGCGGGCATGATCTTCACGTCCGTGTTCCTCAAACCGAGAACCCGTATTTTATCTGGGGCGCGCGTGCATGTGCCTTCTCTCATCTCGTGCTCAGTGATGGCCTTCGGAAGCAAGGCTTGAATCGTAGTGTTAGACTCCAAGAACAGCCGCTGCCCAGACATCACCCAATCCAAAGCATCAAAGAGAACTCGGATCCCATACTCATTGCACCCCCAAGCATCATACGGTAGCCCATCTACACCCGTGGCACTGCGGCGCGCCCCCCTGGCAACCCCCCTCATCGAACGTAATGGCGGACGGCGGCGGCGCGACAACATCCTCGATAGAAGGTAGGCGTTCCCGTAGATAAGAGCGAGCAGCGGCAGCAGCGAACGTCTTCTTGGCAAAGACAGGGCCCCAATACTTCCCTAGGGCATCGGTGCGGTCGGAGGGGTCAGTCGCGACGCTGTGCGAGGAGGAGTCGGCCACGCCCGAGAGGGACAGACGCTCGCCGATCGGAGACCACAACCTTGCCTTCTTCTCCAGCACACGCAGCTGCAAACGCACCTGCCGTGCACCCCCCTTCTTTTTCCTGTCTAGCTTGGAGCTCACGGCGACGAGCTTCGGCAGCCTCACGTTGGACGCGGCAAGACCACTCCTGAAACGAGGGCGGATGACGCAAGGATACAATGGTGCTGTCGATCATGATGTGATCGTCAGTCTCGGGATGCGAGTTCTGAAGCCGGCGGGCCAAACGCCAATCCTGCCTCCAGACCACGCGTGCCAGGGACCTAGCAAGTAGTAGTAACGACTGAGGGTGCCGGGGGCGCAGGCGGAAGAGACGATCGCGAGTTCCCAGACCTGCCTGGCGAAGAAGGAACTTGTAATGCTCGAGACGGAAGGGCGGGGACATCGACGACCAGACACTCGACCGAATGAGACCAGCCAAACGCTCCAGGAAGAACGGCTCGCGGCACAGCTCGCGTGGGACAGGGCGCTCAGCCGCAGGCTTAGGGGCGCGAGTTGAGAAAGAGACAACCACAGCAACATGATCCGATATCTTTTTGTCAGAGACAGCGGCCGCCGACTCGACCGTCGACGAAGCGATGTACATCTGGCAGGCCGGCCAGCTGGCCAGGGAGCAGAAGACCCTGTCGATGCAGGACGACTCGCTGGTGTCCTTGACGTAGTGCGTCGGCTCGTCGCCCTCGAGCTCGAGCATGCGCGCCAGCGACCTCCTCCAGATCGTAGCCCGGCAGCGCAGCCGACGGCGCGACCGCCGAATGGCGGCCGAGGGGGCGTGCAGGATGAGCGCCTCATCCGCGGCAAAGTTGAAACCGCCGCTGACCGCCACAAGTCTGCGAACAGGGTCGTCCTGGGCGGCCCTCAGCGCAGCGTCGATGGACGCAGTCACACAACGGATGTTGTCCGAGCGCAAACCATGATTATGAATGTTGAAGACAGTGAGTAAGACATCGCCCCTCTGGGTACCCACTCTCAGCACTCTCCCAGGCACGAGGCTATCATGCGAGACTGTCGACATAGTCCCTCCCGCCATTGATAGCTTCGGGAGCAAAAACGCGACCCCACCTTTGACGCGGTCCGTCCTCTCCACGCCAACGAAGCTCGTGATCAGCACGGACTCGGGGTAGACCTGGTTCATGAACGCGCGCAGCTGGAGCTCGTCCTGGTGGACCTCCTGCAGCGACACGATCGCGCGGTGCGGCTGCAGCCGCGCGAGGTAGTTCTTCTTCAAGCAAGCCTTCGCCCCAGCAGCCTGAAGTAGCACTCGACAATTCCATGTCGCGAACCGCAGAGGCGGTGGAGACCCATCGCACTCATTCGTACTGAAGTGGGAAACGGAAGCGACGTCAAAGGCACCACTGGGGCTCCTTGGGAGGGTCCGTGAGCGCCTTCGTCGCTGCAATGGCCTGCGCCTTCGAGATCCGATGCTTCTGCAGGCCATCGACGACCCACCACAGCTTCGGGGGAGACTCGCCGTGGAAGACCTCGACCCGCAGTACCTTATCCCAACCGATGGAAAGCACCCCCCTCTGGCGGTCCAGAAAGATCCTGGAGCCCGCACCGCGCAACTCCTGGAGGGCATCCTTGCACTTGCGCAGTGTGATCTCTTGTTTGACCTGCTGCGGCCTCTTGTCAGGGCCAAGGTGGAGACGGCACGCAGGCGCACCGTCGACCTCAGCCCAGAACTCTCTCCAGACGCCGTTCTCGCGAAGCTTGGAAAGAACCATTTGCACCTTACGGGTCGCGGGCGCAACGAACCCGCCAAACTTGATGAGGAAGCGGCGGCTAGGCGAAGGCCCCGCCGCCTCAATATTGTAGTCCTCCGGCTTGGACGCCAAGGACCGCAGCCATTCGTCCAGCGACTTCTTGACCGAGGCGAAGGTGGTCGGCACCTGCGACATGACCACCACGAGCGTGTGGTCAGGGTCGCGGGAGAAGCCAGACGGCACCGCGACGGGGACCACGGGCCTCTCCTCCGCGACCGCGAGCAACTTCTTGAACTCAGCCAGCTCGCCCTGCAAAGCCTGCAGCTTCTCGTCATGCTTGTCCATCCTCTCATCATGCTCATCCAGGCGCGCCGCATGAACATCGAACTGCTTCTGAAACCTCTTACCGATCTCATCGAGCGACGGCTGAATGGCGGACTGCACCTGCTGATCAAGAGAGGAGGTTTGCCCGTTGAGCTGGGCCCTGACGGCGTCAAGGGCTTGAAGGACGATGTTGCTCGACTCTGCAACCGAGGCGGCAACTGTTTTGCCAACTTCTTCTTGCATGGACTCTTTGAGACCATTCCACTCTGACCGCACAATATTTCGTAGGTAATCATCTGACACCCCAGCCCATTCTCCGTCTTCAGCATCATCAGCGGGCCCGTCGGCTCCGATTGCCGCCCCAGAAGTGGGTGGAATGGCACGACGCTTGCCAGGAGGAGGGACGTCAGCATCAGCAGCACGAGACGGGACAGAACCTTTCCCGCGTTGGCCGCCCTTGGCATTATCCTCGGCGGTCTGCGACGGGAAGGTGGACGCGAGGTCGATGCCTTCGAAGAGGATATGCTGCGTGTTGGGGTCGGCGACCCCCATGAGCGAGACTGAGACGTTCGCACGCGCAGGAACGGGAAAGACCTCCGTTTACCCGCAGGCACGAGCGTAAGTGCGGTGTTCAATCTCTGCCAGACCGCCAGGGGTCTTGCCTGCCGCGGACTAGCGGTATCCACTTGTTCCCCTGAGGAACTATGCATCTTGAACCAAAATGGCTACGGGCGAGGAGGAGGAGGAGGAGGAGGAGGAGGAGGAGGAGGAGGCGGAGGAGGAGGAGGAGGAGGAGCAGGAGGAGGCGGAGGAGGCGGAGGAGGAGGAGGAGGAGAAGGAGGAGGGCCCCCAGGCCCCGAGCGGCGAAGAGAGGGCGACAGGGGGTCGACGCCGCCTCCCCTGTGGGACACCCGCCGAAAGCTGGGCAGAACTGGCCCGACGGCACGGTGCCGCCGTATGGTGGCAAGTTACGCCGACATTGGACGTCGCCCTGCAGCTGGCCCACACACCATAGCGTTGGGAAAACATCACGGCGGGAGGTTTTTCTCTATTATCGGCCTCTGGGGGCCTTTACCGGGCATCGAGACCGTCAAAAAACGGCTTCGGATGAAAAAACGATCCCTGGGAAGGGGTCCAGACCTCTGGGGGTCGACGTTGAAAAAAAAATCACGACATTGCGAGAATAGCGAAGCACCTCCCGTCGCGAGTTTGTCACAGCGCGACGGGGTCTGCGAGGAGGACGAAGAGGAGGAGGAGGAGGAGGAGGAGGAGGACGAGGAGGAGGAGGAGACGAAGGAGTGGGAGGAAGAGGAGAGGGGGGAGGAGGACGAGGAGGAGGAGAAGGAGGAGAAGGAGGAGGAGGAGGAGGAGGCCGGCACGGTGGCAAATTACTTCGACATGCTGCTGGACGTCGCCGTGCAGCTGAACGATCGCGCCGTGGTTGAGCTCGCGGTCGGGGCTTCGGCCCCGCAGATCTACACTCTGCCCTGGCAGTGGCAGGGGAGGTGGAGACCTGCCCTGCCTTTGGGGTGGGCTCGCGACCTCACGGGCCCGCGCAGCGCGCGCGGGCGCGAGGGCGCGGCAGCCGAACCCTCTGCGCTGCCCTCCGCTCCCGAGCCCTCGAATCGAGTCCGTCTTTGCAACTGCCCCCCACCCCCCCGCCCGCCCCCCGCCCGCAGTACCCCCCCTCCTCGCGTTGTGAAAGAGTCGTGACGGAAGGTCTTTCGTTGTTTTCGGTCTCCGGGGGGCCCTCCCCAGGCCTCGGGGCCGTCAAGAAAACCACTCGTGATGAAACCGCTCCCAGGGAAGGGGTCCAGACCTCTGGGGGACGACGTTAAGATAAAGGAAATAGAAACAAAAAAAACACTACGTCGGGGGTCTGGGCCACGTGCCTGGGCGGGTAGGGCACCCAGGCCCAGACGGCTACAGTCGGTGATTGGAGAGGACACGCGAGAAGACACAAGACCCTTCCGAGGGCCACGTTGACACAATGATGCAGAAGGCAGGGTCCCGAAACACAGGACACAGGGGCACCCTTGTTTTGGCAGGGTCGACCTACGAATCAAACCCGAACACCGCACAACCACAGAACAGATACTCTGAACGCACAGGCTAATCCAACGGAAGGAGATCTGCCCGCGCGGCCAAACCTCCAGTGGAAAGCCACTGACATGGAGACCTCCCAAATTGTCCGAACCCATCCCCCGCGATTCGGGGATAAGCTGTTTCCATGAGCTTCGAAGAGGTTACCCCAACCAGAACACCCCAAACTTACGGTGCACTCATAGCGCCCATGCGTCGACACTTGTCGCTCCGTGGCGTGGCAGAACACTGGAAACAAAGACCGTGTGTAACAAGTTATCCCCTGGCTTCTTGCACGTCGCGCGTCCTTCCCGCCATCGCGCCCGGGCGTGCGGCCGCTTCTGCCCCGCGCGCCCCGGCAGAGTGGCGAACCCCCGGCCCCGAGAAGTCGAACCACTTGCTCTCGATGTGCCGACCTCCGCGGCTGGCCCGAGGAGGAAAACGCTGGCGCGCAGGGCGCCCAGCTTTGTGGGGGCGAGCCCTGCTCGGAGCTCTCCGCGGGGAAGCTGTCCGAGCAGGTGCGGATCTCTGACATGTCGGCGTGGCTTCACCCGCCCGACCAGCCCTCCATCCCCAACAGCCCGCCTGGCTGGCGCCTTCCACGGCGATCGCTGAGCGCACGTTGCCCCCCCTCGAAAGGGACAGAGCGGGGCAGCGCAAGAAGTGGCGGGCGGCAAAGGCGAACGCGAGGAGGCAAACCCACCCCATCCGGCTGGGGCGTCCTCGGCACCGTCGTCGGAGGAGTGGTCCTGCCTTGAGGGCAGCGCACGCTTCAAGAGCAGTATAGGGAGTGAGATAGAGAGAGAGAGAGAGAGAGCGAAACAAAAACATGATATATAGAAGGGGCGAACAGCTTACCAAAACAACGTTGACCTCTACTCATTTACAGCCACACGTGCCTTAACGTGCACATAAACGCATATAACATACATATATATACATATAGAGAGAGACATGCCTAAACGTATACACTGGAACCACACGCGCGCTTCGCGCTTGGGTTCTACCCAGGCACAAGCATCGGATGCGTCGCGAAGCGAATGAGGTGGGGAACGGTTGCAGGAAAAGCGGTGGATAACTGATGACTCACCGAAGGCTGCCAGGCATATATTCCACCCAGTAACCCTCGTAGCCATTGGCCCTGTCGATGGAAAAGGAACAGTTGCAATTTGGTAACGAAAAGTTCGCGGCCAGAGCGGGAATGGAAAAACGAAGAAATCACACACGAACCTCGATCGTCGAGCGCCGATGAACCATCGAGCGCCGATGAACGACGGACGCGACGTGGGCGAGGACGACAGAGAGGTCAACGACGACAGACGACAACGACGACTGCGACGATGACGATGACGATGACTACGACGCAGCCATCCCCTTCCCTGCGAGCCAGCGCCGGGGTAGCCGTGACCCCCCAAGTCAGCTCAGTCGCCTTAAACAGAGATTCATGAATCTCTGTTTAAGGCGACTGAGCTGACTAGGGTGACAAGGGGCCGGGGGGGCGGTTCGTCGCAGCTGACGGCGGCTGCACAAGTGTAGAAACGACAGCCGATCGAGCATTACAGACCGCTGTCTTCTCGGGACGTACGTTAGCACCGATCGCACGTGCGTTCGAATCGGCGGAGTGCCCGACCCTGCGTTGGTTGTTGTCGATGTAGACCAGCTGCTGCGGAGGCGCGCCCCCAGACACACATCCGGGCGTTGAGGAGTCAACGCGCACTCGGGGGCGCATGCGAACAACTCTGGCGCGAACGTCGTTGCGCGACAACCGCCCTATCGCGAATTGCTCGATGCCGAAACATCGCGAGTCTGTGCCCTGGGCGAGGTCGCCAGAGGCCGCCCCCCTTGGACGGCCGTCTGCGGATCACCCCAGCTAGGCACGGTTGCCCCATGAAAACCCAACAAAACATACCCGTACCTAGCCGGGGTGCCGCAGCTCACCCCAGCTAGGTCCGGGTATGTTTCGGTGGTTTCAGGCAGGTCCCCGTACCTAGCCGAGGTGGCGGCAGGCCCAAAACGCTCTCGAGCACATATCATGCCCTCCAGAGCCGTCCCCGACGTGGCCGCTGCGGCCCCCTGGGGGCGCGACATTGCAACGTCGCTCCTCAGGGCAAGCCCAGACGCATTGGTTGCCAAGATAGCGAGGAAATCCAACTCTTTATCGATTGGGACAGGCGCCGCCACATATGGGCGGCTTTGAACCGCGCACGCACCACGATGCCCCGAGACGTCCCTGACAAAAACCAGCGCTTGTCGCTGCAATGAGACACCCAACCATCGAGCGCGCCGTTGCGTCTTGACGCGCGGCTGCTGCACTGGCGCGCGCGGGGCAAGCTAACCGGGCACAGTAGCAAGCGCCCAGTCCCCCGGACGGCCCATCTCACCTTGGCTGGCCCCGGGTACGGGTATCTTTCGGACCAATTCAGAACAGAGATCTCGCAGGAGCCAGCGCCCAGGTAGCCGTGACCCCACAGAGGAGCTCACGGCCAGAACGGGAATAGTACATCGGAGAAAACCCATCTCGAACCTTATGCTGTTCCCATCGTACTGACGAACCACATCCCTGAAATAATTTCGAGCACCCCGAACAGTATCGAAACAGTGTCGAGCGAGTATCGCCTCCCAGGGCCCAACACGTGAAAACCTTCCAGTTTCGGTACTTTCTTGGTGCTCGAAATTAATGCTGGTGATCGAGGCTAGAATAGGTTGGAACATCATAACTCGAACCTCCATCGTCGAGCCTCGATGACCGACGGATGCACGGATGCGACGTGAGCGACGCCTTATGGGGTCGTCTTGGGACCCTCCAGGGGGCCTCTGGGAGCAAAAAGGTAAGCGAACCGTCTTGGAGCGCTCTGGGGCCGACCCACGGGCCACTGATGCCACACTGGAGCGACCCAGCGCCGTTGCGGAAACATCTGAAGCGCTCCCAGGACCCCGCCGTGGGGGGGGGGTCCGAACGGGCTCCAGGTTGAAGACATGTCCAAAAGATGTTTTAACATCTGGGCATTGTTTGGCAACGCGCTTCCCCTCCAATTGACCGTCGTCCACAAGGCTGGCGGAAGGGAGGAGGACCGAGAACCAGAAGGAGCTGGCAGGACGGGAAGGAAGAAGAGGAGCAGGAACTCTGGCGGGCCGACCCTGACGGGCGGGTCGGCAGGGCGGGC